CTATTCATGTCCTGATTTCAAACCATTTCAAAGTTCAACTACGGAAACAACAAATGATGACCGATTTTTATGGATTTTAATCTGAATTATGAGTTTTCGAGTAAGATTTAATCTTCTAGAAACAGCTACAGAATCACTATTAAAATTCATGAAGCTGGTATTAGAAAAAATCGGAAATGCTGATTTTAATTCATTTCCTGATACTTTATATCTTACAAGAAAGGCTCTTGGCCTTAAAGATTAATTTCATAGCTTTGTGGTATGTTCAAAATGTCACAAATTATATAATAGCCAAAAAGTGAAAGAATTTCGTCAAGATGAAACTCTTGCTGTCATGAAGTGTCATTATATAGAGTACCCAAACTCAAATTGTAGAAGACATCGATTATGTCAAGTGGCCTTATCTCAGCAAACAAAATTATTAAACGGTCAGATTTCAAATTGACCTGTACTAATTTATCTGTTTGCTAGGATTCGTTAACAACTGGAATCTATGTATTGTCGGCCTGGTTTTGAAGCTTTACTGCGTCATTAGGCAAACCGAACATCATTTGATAGCATTTTAAGTGACATATACGATGGTCAAGTCTGGAAAATGTTAAAGGAAACAACAGACGAAAATTTGCCCAACTTTTTTCGACCAGAAGTGGCAGATTCGCATCTTGAACTTATGATAAACCTTGACTGGTTTCAACCCTATGATGGCACAACGCATAGTACTGGTGCTATATATGCTGTAATATGTAATTTACCTCGTGATATTCAGTTTAAACGAGAAAACTTACTGATTGTTAGCCTTTTATCAGGACCTCATGAAGTTAGTTTGCATAGAATTAACCACTATCTTACGCCAATTGTTGACAAACTAGAGTTACTTTGGGGTGAAGTGACTCTAAATCACTCACATGAATTTCAAAATGAAAAAAGTATTCGAGCAGCATTGATACTAATTTCGTATGATATTCTTACTGCTAGAAAGATTTGCAGACATGTTTCCGCATTAGTTTCATGTCACCAGTGTAATAAAAAAGCCAGTTATGAGAATCATCAGCATAATTTTGCTGGCATAAACAATATGGACGAATGGTTCATCACTCGGGATTCAGCTCAATATCTTTAAGATGCAATTGGATGGCAACATTGTAATTCAGATGCTGCTCGGTGGCGATTTGTTAAAGCTACTGGTATTAGATGGTCTGAGCTACTTCGTTTACCATATTTCAACCCAATTCGTTTCATTATTATAGACCTAATGCATTGCCTATTTCTAGGCATTGCAAGGTGGATAATGAAATGAATTTGGGTTGATGAAGGGATATTAACCCCGGTAGCTCTTAATAAAATTCAGACAATGATGAACAAGTTTTATGTTCCGTCTGACTTGGGTCGAATACCAGGCAATATTAACTGTGAAGAGGGATTCTCCAATTTTACTGCAGACCAATGGAGGACTTTTTTCACCATCTATGCTACAGTAACACTTTGGGAACACCTACCTATTAATGACCGAAAAATTCTTACACATTTTGTAAGAATCTGTTTGATCTTAGTGAGTCAAATTGTAGAAATTGATTCTATGAAAAAGGTTCACGAAAGGCTTATTAAGATTGTGAAGCTGATTGAGAAGTGTTATGGCCATGATAAAATAACACCTAACCTTTATCTTTCGCTTTATCTATGTGAATGTTCTCACGATTATAGGCCTCTCTACGCGTTCTGATGCTTTTCATTTGAAAGGATGAATGGTATATTGGGTAAGCTAGATTCTGTTCGAATTTAATTTTAGTAAATTTAATCCTTTTCTAATTATCAAATTTTTTGTCAGGTTCTTTGCCGAATAGTTATCGGCAAATTGAACCCGAAATCATACGTCGACTGATTTTTGATAATAGAATCAGTGAGATTGTGAATTCTGGAGTAGAGACGAAAGGCTTTGAATTATTGAATTACAGGTTGTCCATTGGGTCTCTTTCAGAAACGGACAGTTTTTCTTCTGATAAAATATGATGATTTTGGCTTAATTCTGTAAATATATAAGAATCAGTTATCACAGGAAATGAACAATTTCCAGGCAAAATGCTGAAACTTTTTTCCGAAAATGTTTCGCTTTCAAATTCAATGTTTGATTTAATGGTTGAATATTATATGGCAACCTACAAATCACTAGAGTTTCAGAAACCGTTTGGGGAAGGTTCATTAGATGCTATAATAATTCAGGTTAAAATGAACCAGTTTGGAAGGTGTCGAATTAGATCTGAGGTCTTTGGTTTAGTGCTATCTTCGCGATACCTCAAAAGCTCTTATGTATTAGCGAAATTCGTGACTAGTAATAACAATGTCGACTGCTATCCTGGACAAATTCAATACTTCTTTATACACAGTTGATTTACCCAATGGACTACCATCTAAGCATTATCTAGCATAAGTACGATGGTATCGCCTCGCAGAATCGACAAATGTAAGATATTATTTCAGTGTTAACGATGACAAAGAAACTTGCAATGTCAAATTATAGCGTGCTGACTTTTATCCCAAAAGTCGCAATTGCATAATACCAGTACACCATATTCTCAGTCGATTCATTCTAGTAAAATACAAAATTATAACGCGGCGAAATGCAGTAGAATACATGGCTGTTAACCTGATTAATAAAAAATATTATATTCGTTAGTAAATTATATAGCTGACCTTTATTATAAAAATCGGATTTTATATTTATTTATGCTAAGTTTGTTGAATTTTTTATATTTTATTTGTTTGATTAAAATTTGGAGATTTACATGTGATTTTAGTGGTTGAAACTGTCATTGAACTGAAAATTAGTATTTAGATAGCAATCAACTATAAAACAATATCAACTGAATTTCAATTGATTCTTAATGCTATACGAAGTATGGCCGAAAGGTAATGATTGAATTTGGCCAAATGTTGATGCTGGTCGAAATTTGATTAAAATTAAACTGATACTTGGTCGATTTGTCATATGACCGAAATTTTTTATTTTGACTAGTGAAACCTTCTATGTTTACTATTATTTATGATATTCTAGAATTAATTCTAAAGCAGATTCATTATCATCTAGCAAAGTAAAAAATTTATACCTAAGCGTGTCTTAGATATAAATTTTTTGTATGTGTACAAGAAAGTTAAAAATTTATAGAATATATTTAAGTATACTAATATTTTGATATACAAGAAACTATTCTGAAGCCAATTGCATTATGCAAATCTAAGGTTAAAAAAAATCTAACCTCAGGTGTAAAAGGGAATAGGTGAAAATTTTTCAAAGAAGGTTAACATATCAAACTTCTAGATAAGTACTCAAAGTCCTATACCGAAACCTATTAATATATTGGGTTACATAATACCTATTAGCATGCTTTCTACAAAGCTCAGGTTTAGAACTAGTTGGCTTATCACAAACCCTATAAGGAAAAACACTTCCTAGTTTTCTAATATTCAAAGCATTCTTCAGGCTGACGGCAGGTCCACTCACAGATTTCTCCAGTTCTGAGTAAATAGTTGCAAGAATATTCGCCTATCATAGTAATAAAAAATAAATATTTTAATTTAAACAAAAGATTTCATAATATTAATATAAGCATCGGAATAGTAACACTTTCATCATGAGTACACAAATTCATTTACCAGAAGTCAAATCCACCTCTTAGCAACATTAATAAATGTAGTCAAAGCAGGATTCTATTATAAAAAACCCAAGAGCAGAAAATTCATGCAAAGCTATAAAGAAAGAGTTAAGAAATTGCGCCAGTCAGAAGATCCTGAACAATATGTAATAGAATCAGCCTGAACAATATTTCCTAATGAGCGCAAATATCATCAAATTATGGATGATTACAAATCTTGATATGGAAGAGATTCAGAGATTCTTAATACTATCACAGATTTATATAAGTTATATTATAAATTAGCTAAAGATTATTTTATTAAGAAAGAAAATATCGATAATGAAGCAGAAGACTTCTTATCATCAATTTGATAAGACCCATTGGGAAGGCAACTTAGTATTAGAAATAATCATCAATTCCTCTCTTACAAAGGATCTATTTGAGTCATTGCTTTCATAATCCATTAGCTAATATAAGACCAGCTGATTTTTTTGCACTAAAGATTCGCAAATTTGATAAACCTGAGGAAACTAATTCATATCAGTAGTACGTCTTCTAGCAGGGCCATATTCTAACTCTCCTGTTTAAGAAGATATCTCACTAAGTCATAATAGGATAAACAAGGTTCATCATATCCAATAAGTCTTCTATATTTTACAACTGGCTTAGCAATTATTTTCTTCCCATTAAGTGCTCTTTCTACTGCCTTATTAGGAGACATATCTATTAACCGAGTAGGAGTATTATTAAATATGTCATCATTAACATGAAGACTTCTAACTCAATCTCTAAAATGATTTGATAAAGGTAACAGAAAATCTATAGTATTTTGCTGAATACCAGAATACTTTTCAAATTCTTTATGATCACGTTCAACTATAGCATTACCTTTCTTAGTTTTGGCATATTATATTTTTACATCATGTTTAAGCAATAAACTCTTACAATCCCTCATATATTCTGTCTCCTTATCTGAATTAAAGCAAATTGGCCAAGAAAGAAGTTCTTTAAGATCATCATAAATTTTTTGAATATTCTTAGCCATTTGTGCAGAAGATTTATCAGTCTACACAAAACTACGTTGATACCTAGTTGCAACATCTTTAATAATGCCCTTATACTTGTAAATCTGATTATCTACTTTATCATGAGGTATAGGCAGTGTTGGTCACTGAACTGAACTGTTCCAGTGGAATGATATTAGACTGGACCATCCAATCCAGTGGACTTTAGTTAATTGAAACTGAACTGATATATAAAATTTAGCCAATCAAAATTAAACACATTTTAAATAAAAAATTTTTTTAATCGCCAATTAAAATTAAATAAAAAATTTTTTTTAATATTATTGTACATCTGTATGCTTTTAATATGAAAAAGCATCGACTAACAATTTATATTCAAGTTCTTAATGAAAAAGCAAATACTTGTAACAAATTTGCTTTATGTAAAGCATGTATCGATAAAGTTTCTCGTGAATATGCTTATAGTAATAAAATAGTTAACACAAAAAAATGTGTTAAAAGTCATTTATCCAAGTGTGAGAATTTTTTTGCTATATATGGAGAGGAAAAAGGTTTAGAAATTCTTCAGGATACTGATAGTGAAACAACTAAAGCTCAAAATATTTCAAGCAAAAAACGTAGTAAAACTTTTTTTGAAAATGATAACTTTATTATAAAATTAAGTGAAGATAAATGTGATTCAGATAATGAAAGTGTTATAACATTCAATTCTAATGCTACCAGTAACACTTATACTTCTAATACTACTTTATCAAATAAAATAAGAATTACAGGACCTCTTGATAACTTTGCAATACAAAAATTATCTACAAATCAAGAATGAAAATAGTGGTATTTAGTACTTAAAGCAACTATTTCAAATGGATGGAGTTTTCATTAGGTTGAAAATAAAGATTCTCAGGAAATGTTTCATTTTCTTAATCCAACACTAAAGCTTTCATATAGAAAACGATTAGGAGGAAAATTTTAGAAAATGCAAGCAAAGATATAATTAAATCAATTGAAAAAAAGGTACAGGTTGATTTAATTGGTGTAACATTAACTATTGACGGATGGACAAATGTAATAAATCAAAATTTAATAGGTAGTGTATTAATTACATCTAAAGGTGAAGTTCTTGTATGAAAAGTATATGATATAAGTACTGAGTGAAGCAGAACAGAAGAAGTAAAGGAAAAAATTGAATCTTTAACTAAAAGTGTTTAAGATGCGGATACTAAAGTAGCAGCAGTTGTTACAGATAGCGCATCACAGTATGCTAGTGCATGGTATGTAATATGTTAATAAAATTATTTAAATTTTATTATTTTAAAATTTTTATATTAATTTTTTAATTAAATATTTTATTAGACGTGTTCTTCAAATTATCAACCCAAATATTGTATATCTCCCATGTTTTGCATATCAAGTATATCAAGTCAATTTATGTATAGGGGATATTTTTAAATCTGATACTAGTCTTGCAGCAGTAGCGAAGAATGCTAATAAAATTGCAACTTATTTTACTTCAAAATTGCATACTTATTTTATTGGAAAGTTACGAGATGAACAAATGGAACAATATCAAAAATTTGTTAATTTAATTCCATCTGGTAATACTAGATGAAATAGTTATTTTTATTGTTTTGCTAGTATTATTAATACAAAAGAAGCACTAAAGGTAGCATTTATTTTTCAATATTTACAAATTTATTAATTTATTTTATTTATCATTATTTATTATTTAAAAGACATTAGTTGTTAAATACAAGCCATCTGATGATTCAGATGCTTCCACTTTAAGAAAAAATAGAAATGATGAACTTAAACTTCCTGTAGATATATGTCGACCAATTAATGACGATAATTTTTGGTGATCAGTTCGTAATCTTAAATATATGCTTTTGCCTCTTTGTGGATGTCTAAATATACTTCAGCGAGATAAGGCTTATTTATTTGAAGTTCTTCATTCATTTGGATATTTTTATAAGCTTTTTAATAATTATAATAATGATACATTATCTAATCGAATGTGTATTCGCCTTGAAAATCGCTGAAAAACATGAGAATAACCTTTGTTGATCCTTCATTTATTCTTCATCCTGATTATTGAATTAACAAATTTAATACAGAACTTCCTAATATGAATTGGGTTGATGTGGGACAATGGGTAATATATCATTATTATGCATAGATACAAAAAGAGCCAGCAAGTATTTTATGTGAATTTGGTTTATATCAAAATAAACATTATCCTTTTAATAATACAACATGAAAACAATGGAAAGGAGATGTATTATAGTATTAGATTTGGTGTTCTGAAAAAACAAAAGAACTTGGATTTATTGCAAAAAGAATTTTTGGAATTGCGGTTAATGCTGCATCAGTTGAAAGATTATGGTCCGCGATGGGATTTTTTCATTCTGCACGAAGAAATCGCTTAAATGTAAGTTAATTTAATATCATTATTGAATAATTTTATATGAATTAATGATAATTTTTTAATTAGCATAAAAAGGTACTTTCAATGGCTCAAATTCGTGATGTAATTAATTAAGCACACAGAAATCAAAAACTCGAAACAATAAAAAATATGTATCATTCTATTTCAACAAGAAATATTGATAATGAAGAAAATAATAATGATAAAAGCAATGAAAATAAAAATCAACAAGATAATGAATCAAGTGAAGTGGATTCTAATTTAAATATAATTGAAGATAATGAACAGGTAATAAGAGGTGAAAATTGGGATACAATTTTAACTATATGGAATAAGATGTTAGATGCAGAAGAAAATGCGGAACGTCAAATGAAATATGAAGATATGCTTGAAAATAATAATAATTTTGGTGATGACATAGCTTCAGCTTATTTTTCTAACTGAACTCATCCTCAGAGAGATAATAATGCAAAATGGAAGTTGGATAAATTGTTTAGTGTTGATTTAGATCCTCCTAAATACTGTGAAAAGCTTTAATTACTTGTTTACACATAAATTCATAAAATAATAAAATGAACCTATAATAAAATAAGCATTGTCAGCTCACGTAATATTAAAATTTTAAAATTGACCCAGGGACCCGAGGTTTATTGTTTATTAATAAAAAAATTTTATATGTAAATCGTAATGATGTAAAAAAAGAAAAGATACACCAAAAAATGACATAAAAAATTTGTTTTATAATATTAGATATAATTCCACTCGAAAAATAAATCATAATTTTCATCTTGGTTAGTCTTTGTGATATTCATAACTTTATACTGTAATTTCGTTAATTTCGTCATTTTAATTTTTTTTATTTATATTTATTTTTCTGATTATTATTTACGTAATTTTAATTAATTAGCGTTTTAGTGATTAGCATTTATTTGAGTTAAACACAAATTTAAAAGGTTATCTGATCGGGTGATGTGAACTGAAAATGCTAGAAAATTTTATATTTTATTAGACTGAACTGGATTGGATCGGTCCACTGAACTTAATGTTATAGTCCAATTTTCTAAGTGAACCAGTCCAATTAACCAACTAAAATTATATGTAATATATTGAAACTGGACTGGAATTGAACTTATAGTATTGGACTAGTCCAGTCCAGTTATGTTTTTTTGAACTGGACTTAGTCTAGTGACCAACACTAGCTGGAGAGACTCTTTGCAATATTTGGAGTCACGATTCAATTTTTAGAAAACACATTAATGCTCGGTATATTGACACATTTACAAATTCATTTAAAAATTTAGAATTTAAGAGTACAGAAAAAAAAAGGCCGAAGAATTAAAAAGACAAGAAAAACAAAACCAAAAAAATGCAAAAAAGAAGAATGAAGCGTTTACCTTTCTCAAATGCTTTATTCCATAGTTTTGGATTGAAAAATACTGCAATTTATGCACATATTCCATTGATATCAGAAAATGTAAAGATACAAGTTGTTGTGAACTACCAAGAGCTAAAGAAGCAATGGAATTTCTTGAAAGCTACAATGGTTTCTTACCACCTGTTACAAAAGCTAATGATGGATACTTTACGAATCCTATTCATTTACTCCAATATTATGATCGTCTAAAAATCCTAAGCTACAATGCTCACTGTCCGTCTCTTGAAAAAAACACATATTCTGTCTTTGTTGTTCTACATATCAGAAGTACTTTCCTATCCTTACTTTCCTAAAGAATCACAAGAAAACAGCATACCCTGCAACTTGAGGATGACCCAAAGGCCAATCTAAGAATCAGAATGAGCTGCTTTTTCTCTTCTACCTTCACAACGACCAAATATCATTCCATTTGAATTAAGAGAATATGTATCGAATGGAGAGTAAGCACATGTTGAATTGCAATATTAATAAATATTTTTTGCTTATTACCGTAAGCCAAATGATCACGTGATATATATATAAGTATAATGTAAGACATCTCTTAGAAGCCCCTGCCACCTCATCCCCAAAAATATTATGTAATATATGTCAGCGTCCTTATTGATATTAGATTATTTACCATAATATTTGAATGTTAGAAACATTTTAATAATAGTAAAATTAATATTAGAAGCTTAATTTGTAGTCTATATAATTGCAAATATATCTGATATTTAGCTCTGTCAAAATCAGCATGATCCTAATAGGCTAACCAATAAGATACATTAAAAGTTATTTGGTATATGCTAAAATACTAAATACTTTTGATTAAATGAAAAATTTTAAATTTCAATTAAAACATACTAAAGAATAATTAGTTTAATATTTATGTAATAAATTTAAAAAGCTTCAACAGCTTTTCACTTTCTTGGAATTGTGAAGCTTTAAAAAAAAAAAAAAATACTTTGAATTTAAATTCATATAACAGTATATTCAGTAATAATTTCAAATCCAAATACTTTGAATTTGAATCCACTTATTATGTATGGATTACATTCTTTTTTATTTTATAAAGAATAAAAATGTTTATATATTTTCTTTTAAAATAATTTTTGTTAATTATATGTAAAATCATTAGGACGTTTAATTTTTAGATTTGAGATTTAAATGATATTTTTAATTTTTAAAAAATTTTAATTATTTTTGTCATTTAAAACATATATAAAAACACAATATCGAAAAAATTTACCATACTTAGTTTATTTATGAAAAATCCTTCACTTTATTGTCCTAAGCGAAGCGAAGGACAAAAACATTGAAACATGGTATAAGGACAAATTAAGATTTATTAAAAGATTTATGATTACTAAATTGAGATTCAAAATTTTACTAATGCGTATTGCGTCTATTAAATTCACCTTTCACTTACTAATTTAGCATCCAACAAAATGTATATGTATGCACTTAGATTATAAAAATCACATACATCATGTATTATGTATGCATCACCATATGCTCTCTAAAGAACTTGAATTTTTTTTTGTTAAAAAAAAGGTTAATAACTGGTTAATTAAAGTTAATAGAACAGGTTAACCAATACAAATGGTTAAATGAACCATCTGAATGGTCTCGGGTGTCATCATTTTCGTTGGAATGAAGCAAGCTTGCTATCAACCTTGTAAACCAAATATTTTACCAAACTTTTCAAAAACAATAGTGGAAGTCGTCCTCATGTATTAAGTCTCATTAAGAACAATCGTTAGATGACTCGCACTTGTTAAAAAATCGCGTTCTTCGATTAATAAATTTTTTTTCTGAAATTAAAGTAATAGATATATATTATAATAGTATAAGTAAAATCTGTTAATTAAATTAATAAAAGCTAATTTATTTTTTATATATTAATAGACTGTATATATCAGAATTGATTTTTGTTGTTTAGTTTTTTTACATGAGCTACAATTTTCTTTAACACCAACAATGTGTCATCTATCGTTTCGGATGTTACTTCAGAAGTAAATCTCGAGTTCATAGCCCCTTTTAAACTTTATGATCACCGCCACTCATCGCGCCTGATTTTTCGATGACTTGGCCTACTAACGTCACCACGCGCGATCTTATTCCGATGAATATGATTTGAAGAGGAGCAAAAGCTTCCTCTTCGTCAAATTGGGATTTCTCTCTCACAAAATAAAACCCAGAACTCTATTCAAAAATCCCCACTAGCCCATAAAAGTCCACCTTTCGCCGGTTGATCTCGTCAACGTTTCCACGAGAAATGTAAATTCCCTTTCTGATCAACGAAAAATAGATTGGCCTAATGTTCATAGGCATCAAATCAAATACTATAATTATTAAATGTGAGGAAAAATTGTTTAATTAGTAAATTTATTAAACTATCATAATTTCAAAAGTTTTTCAACGTTACTTACTTTGGCTCCCAATTCCTGTATGGTTGGTAACCTCAACCATAGACGTCAGGTTAGTTACTATAATTATTACTGTGAAAAAAAAAAAATTATTTCATTAGTTAAACAATCATCATAATGCCTTAAAATTTCTCAACGCTATTTACTTTGACGATATAGTGGAAGACCATCTTCGAACACGCCCAATTCTTGTATGGTTAATAGCATATTATTGTTATTGTTGATCAGTTTGTAATATTATTTAGCTGGTTTATGTGTTGAGACGGCAGTTCTTTTCAAGAGTTTATTTTTTTTTTTTTTTTTGAAAAAGCATTGAGAATAGATTTATGATTGTGATCAGCCAATCATATTGTTCCAGAATTCCGAGTAAAGATAGGGACCCCTGAAACTCGTCGTGTGATATCTACTAAGTTTACTAGTATTAAAATGGCCGGGTACATGGTTAAATTAGGAGTATTAGTTATTTTAATTCGATATCTTCGGGGCCTGTAAAGATTACAAAGGCTATAAAAGGCTATAATAGGAATAGTACGTCACTGGATTGATGTAGATCGTTCACCTTCGAACACTTTATATTTGATGATCAGTTTACAATAGGTAAGATTATTATTATTAATTATAAAAAAGTCCAAAGAGAAAACTTATTGTATTTTTAATATGAACTTTGTCATCCGAATCTGATTTATCGTGAATTTTGCTTCCGGTGAATTAATTTTATTTAACGATTTAATTCACGGTGTTCAATTTTTTCAATAATCAAATTGGTTCATTAATTTCATTGACCATTTAACATAAAATTTAATAAATTTATTCATTATTGATTCTACATTAGATTACTGATGGATATCTGGTTCATTAGCTTAGAGCACGAATCAGTCAATATATAAATTTGCGCTTATTTCTGATCTCCTTTTGGTGAATTTTTTGTCAAAAATCTTTTTAACCAAAAAATTTATTTAATTGAAATTACAAATATTTATTTTAAAAATAACGAGACAAATAAATTTTGTAATATACCTTATAGTTGACGACTGAATTCTATCCTTGGTTAAATCAAGAATAAAAAAATTTTATTTTTAAGAATAACCGTCTTATGATTATTAGTCGCTGAATCAAAAGTCGTTGATGGTAACGGCAAGCATTATGAATCCATACAAACCAGAAGTCCTGTTACATATTCTAGTTCTTTACAATTAAAGATGATTTTAAAGAAAAGCGAATCGTGAGAGACATAATTCACTTAAAATAATCTACCACTTACTTGAACAATTGTTTTCGAAATTCTAAAGCTGTACGCGTGGCCTACGTTCTTAATGCAACAATTTTATAAGGAATAAACTTGTTCATTTCTGATTGTTCAGATTAAAAAATGCATTTTTTTTTTTTATTTTATTTTTTTTTTTAAAAAAAAGAAACATGCATGCCTTTGGAATTTAGTTTATATACTTCAAATAAACATTATAAACCTGGACTTTGAAATAAAATAACATATGTTTTACTTCACAGTTAAACTTTTGAACCATTTACTGACAAAATTTCTTTCAACAACAATATCTAAATTTTCTTTCTAATTTTTAATCGAATTTTTTTGATAAGATCATATGGGTTGATTGCTAGGAAAATCAGGTCCCAGGATTTTTATTGTATTTTAATTTTTGATGTTATTAGATTAAAATGTATTAAGCTCTTAATTTTAGTCAAAAATTTCTCGGAACCTAGAAACCCTCCCATATGATGTCAAACGCGATTATCCTTACCCAAACTCCAATCTTACCTATAACTTCTAAAATTTTCAGAACCAGAGAAGAAAATGGTTCTAGAAAAGAAGATGAAAAGATGGAACCAGAAAATAAATGGTCCTATGAAGTCGAAAAGATTAACTAGAAGATAGATGGTTCTAGAAAAGAAGATGAAAAGATGGAACCAGAAAATAAATGGTCCTATTAAGTCGAAAAGATTAACTAGGAGATAATGGTTCTAGAAAAGTTGAATAAAGAAACTATCGGAAACGAAATAGTGGAAAGATGGAAAAGATTTCGAAAAATTAAACCTTTTCAAATTTAAGTTTCAAACGGAAGTTGAAACATTTCAAAATAAGAGTTCTAGAAAGTGATAATGAAAAGTTTGACTTATCCTTTTCATATATAGATAAGTAGTGGTGATTTAGGAATTAATAATCAGCCATTTCCCGAGATGAAAGAATAGTTATGGGGACCATTATTAGGAATAGTTGAGATATAGGGGCTAGAATAATATAAATGCTTGGAATCTAAATTCTAGCTCAGTTCCGATTTTTTTTTTCCCCTTTAATGTAGAATTCACGTTCACATCAAAGACTCGTATTGATCATTTACGTCAAATGCTAATCAATCAACATATCACTTTATGTTCTGATTGTTACATTATTCTTCCGGA